TCTGAGACATCAGCTCCACCCACCCCAGCCACCGCCGGCCCACCTGTCCCCTCCATGCGAGTGTGGGTGCTATTCTCAGCCCCAGGCGCCACGACGCCAGCCATCAGCAGAGGGGTGGAATCTGCCCCTCCAGCCCAGCCACCTCCCACCAGCCCCTCATCAGCTGCTTGCTGGGCTCCCTGGGGGAACAGCCTGTGTGGAGAAGCAGCACAGCAGGAGCTCAGCCCCCAACTCAGCAGAGCACAGAGCCAGAGCCAGAGCCAGAGCCAGGCCAGGGGAGGTGAAGGTCTCGCCTCCACCCACCTGCCTGGGGCCAAGCAAAGGTCTGACGGGGCAGGACCACGGCCACCTCCACGATATTCATCAGGAAACCACTTCCCTACTGACGCCAGGCCAAGCCGGCCCTTCACATCACCTCCTCCAGGCAGCCTTCCCTGACCCCCACCCCAGGCACAAGGCTTCACTCATTCCTCTGAATGCCCTCGGCCCTTTGCCTATGTCTGTTTGGCCTCAGTGTGCAACCAGGCTACTCATTCATTTTACCACTCGGAATCCTCCATGGCCACATCTGTGGACCTGGAACTATTAAAGAGTACCTAAAGGGCATAAGACGTGGTATTTTTTCCCAACATGTTAGTGCTTTTATTTTGGTTATTGTTGTTATTTTTGTCACTCAAAGGAGTTGATGCCCAGAGTCAGCTTTAAATAGCTCCACCCAGTCCTGCCAAGTGCAGACACATGCCCTGCCCACAACACAGCACGGGGGAGGGCCAGCTCCCTCCCCACCGCCCCACCTCTCCCCACCCCGGCCCTGGGGTCCCTCCCAGGCCCTCGGCTGCCCTGGAGCTGTCCTAAGGGCTCCCCTAACGCAGCCCTGGCCTGATTCCAAGTTGCCACTACCTGTGAGGACTCCCCACTTTGCAGTTGCAGAATCAAAGGCTGGGGACTCACTGGTACAGGGCCCCAGAGCAGAAGAGGGGGCCAGGGCCAGGGCCACTGCTTTCCACTAGAGCAGGGGCTGGGGGAAGGCTGCGAGGGGGCTGGGAGGGGCTGGAGGGGAGCATAGTCAGAGCAAGGGCGAAGACCAGGGTGCGGGAAACAAGAGGGGCCCAGAGTGGGAGTCCGGTGGTGGCCCCGCCCCTGGCAGAGGCGCTGAATGTCAGCGGGCAAGGGGGGCTTTCCCAGGCTCCCTCCTGCTAACCCTGCACAACTGGTCTTGGGCTGCGGCGGGGTAGAGAAATACTGTGGGCAGGGAGGGGACTGAGGGGGAGGCACTGGTCCTCCCAGCCCAGCAGAGGCAGGAAATCAGCACACGGGGGACAGGAGCTGGGGCCTCCCCCTGCCAGCCCGGAGACCACAGGGGACAATGCAGGGGCCGCCAGAGGTCTGGGCAGGTCCCCACCCAGGGTCCCACCTCTACCCTGAAAGGCGGGAGGTAAGGACCAAGTGAGCGCAAAAGGCCCCTCCATCTCTGACTTCCCAGGGTTGGGACAGAGCATCAGCCCTGGAGTCTATCTTGCTAAGGAGGTCTTCAGGGTCTGACCCACGTCCGTCCCTGAGAAGAGCTGAGGCAGTGTGGACACGGAGGGGTAGCAGAGACTCCCCACACCCACCCACAAAAGAGGGCCCTGGCCCCCAGAAATCACAGCCAGTGCCAGCTCACCGTCTGGGCCTGCTGCAGAGGTTGCTCACACCCACCTGTCCCTTTCCTCCCCCAGGGCCCGCTTTCCCAGGAGAAACACAGTTCAACAGTAAGGGAAAGCTGAGCTGGCAGTCAGAGTTACCCACTTCCTTTTTAAAAAAAAACACAAAATCACAGCAATGTGTCAAAGGAGGAGAGCAGAAAAGAGCAGTGCAGGGCATGGCCTGGGGTGGACGCCCAGCCCCAGACCCCAGGAGGTCGGCTCCTGGCCAGCCCATGCTGCAGCTCTGGACACTTCTGGAGCATCTAAAAGCTGGAAGGCATTCCTGCTGCTTACAGGGAGACGGAATAGGGGTCGGGGGAGGCCGAAACGTGGTGGGAAGGGGTCCACGGTGTCACCCGGCCCCTGCCGGGCCCTCTCTGGGCAACACGTTCCCCTTCCTTCCTCCCACGAGGCCTCACCATCTGGATCCCAAGCTGAGCCTGGGTGGCTCCACCACTGCTGGGCCAAGGCTGGCCCGGACTTGGGCAGGATGGCCCAGCTGGACACACACGGAGGGCATGGGCACAGCTGAACACCCCACGCCCGCCAAGGCGCCTCAGTACCCCCACCCCACCCGAGAGCTGGAACCCCAACCGTCAGTGTCCTCGGCTGTGAAATGGAGACACCTCTTCCCCCGTTAAATCCTCACATGCGGGGAAACCGAGGCTCAGAGGGGACAGGTAACTTGCCCAAGGTCAAGCGCTTGGGAGGAGCAGGGCTGGGATTTGAACGTGGGCCTTCCACCTGCCACGCTATGTAAGCTGCTCCGAGAAGCCTTTTCCATCCCTCGTACACGGGAGCCTCACAGCCCAACTCAGCGTTCAGTGCCTACTGTGTGCGGGTGTCAGGATCACACATTCACAGCGGGACCAGCCTCCACCACTGAAGACTCGGGTCTAGCAGGGAGGACGGTCATCCCATTGTATGGAGGAGCAAATCGAAATAAGAAGGTAGAATAACTGGCCCAAGTCCCCAGTGGAGGGGAGGGGGCAGGAGCTCGGATCCGGGCTGCAGGATGTGGGTGGGGCCTCCCCTGGTCTCTCACCTCCACCAACAGCACACACAGTGGGACAGCGTGACCCGACGGTGCACTGACTCAAAGCTGGGACGCAGGAATCAGGTTCTGTCCTGCTGCTGACCATGGGTTTCCCAGGGTGCTGACTCAGCTCTCCCAGGCGGCCCTGCAGCCCTGCACCCACGCCTCAGCTTCCTCAGTGCAGTACCAGGATGGCCCCCACCTGGTCCACCAGACCCACAGGAAGGGCCCAGGACCCCCCTTGGCTGTGGCCCCTGCCAGGCCCATGGTCCCCTCCACCAGGAGGCCTGGGTGGCAGGGACACACACACACACACACACAACTTATAAACTAGCTCCTGGCTTAGTTTATATTTCAAACAACAATATTTTCATCCTGTCCCAGTTTCAGCAAAAGCACCCAATTAATTGTGGATTCTATTTCTCCGTTTAGATCGACTCCACTTGTATTCCTGGCCATTAACTCCTCCTCAAGTCTCCCCTCCCCTCCCCCGCCGTGGGATTCCCCTCCCTCCCCAACTCTGTTTTCAATCTGCACCCAGGTCTCTCTCTACCTGAGGCTGCCCCTGGAAGTCAAGTCAGGACAGTTCCTTCCACATCCGACCCTGACCCTCTGGAGTCCCGTGATTCCTGCATGAACCCAGGTTCCCCCACCTGCCTGGTGGAGTCATGGGGGATCCCAGGGGCCATGTGGAAAGTCCCAAGGTGGCTCTGCAGGGTCACCTTCTCCTCTAGCAGGCCAGCCCCCCTCCCCCATACACACCACACACACACATAACGCTCCTCAGGTGTTCGCCCCACAAAGGCAGCCCCCACCCACTGATTTTCTTTTTTTTTTTTTTTGCGGTACGCGGGCCTCCCACTGCTATGGCCTCTCCCGTTGCGGAGCACAGGCTCCGGACATGCAGGCCCAGCGGCCACGGTTCACAGGCCCAGGCGCTCCGCGGCATGTGGGATCTTCCCAGACCGGGGCACGAACCCGTGTCCCCTGCATCGGTAGGCGGATTCTCAACCACTGCGCCACCAGGGAAGCCCCCCACCCACTGAATTTTAATGGAAAACATTTCAGCATTCACATTTGCACTACAAGAATCTCTTCCAAGCATCCTCCAACCACCCTCTCCCAGCTCAGGGATGGCGGTGGCAGCTCCCAGGAAAGGCCAACCTGGGGCCAAGTCCAAGACTGGGAGGGAGGAAATCCCAGGGCTTCCCTGAGCTCCAGTGTTCTCATCTGCCAAGTGGAACCATAATGCAGTCCCGCCGACCTCATAGGTCACTGAGAGGAACAAATGAAAAACAGCAAGTGGGAGGGTTCTCAGTAAACCGCAAAATGCCACGGAGATGCTAACCCTGACCTCCCCTCCAGAATCATCCAGACCCAGTGGGACCCAGCAGAACTCAGCTCCACCATTATCACTTACAGGAGTCCTGGAGTTCACCTTCCCTCACTGGGAGGGGCATCTCATGCTTCCCAGTTCCTAGGTGGGCAACTGAGGCTCGGTGGCCGAGCCAGGGTTCAGCCCACATCTCTCAAGCCCCAGCTCTCTCTGCTGTGCATTGGGTTCCTCGAATGAACGAATGAATGAATGATGGGAGACCCCTCACCTATATCCCCAGGTCCCTCCCCTCATTAGGCCCCTCAACCCAGCCCACCTGGAACTGTTTGCCCTCCCCCCACCCATTCAATCAAGCTCCGGCTCAGGGGGGCTCTGGCTTCCCTCCTGGGGGAGGCAACACCACCCCTCCCGATTTAGTGTTTTCAGCCTATGCAGGAAAGAAAGGAAACAAAAATGCACTGCAGTTCAATTTCAAGAATCCGGTCATCAGAACACAAAAGCCAGAATGGTCCCTACCTGCGGGTTCCCAGGGGTTCCCCAAGATGCTCCCTGGAACAGAACCTGTGCGTCCTCCCCGCCAGGCACTGATGGCATCACTTCCTCCACCACCACCAGGCACTGGGCACTGATCATGTTCCTTCCTCCTGGACCCTCTCCACAAGCCCGTGGGCAGGAACTCCCATTCCCGTTTACAGAGGAGGAAATAGGGGCTCAGAGAGGGCGTGACTTGCCCAGGACCCCAGAGCAGGTGGGTGGTCACTGGGGTCATGCTCCCTTCTCTCTGTCCAGGTCTGTTTTTCTCCCACACTCACCCCAACCTCCTTCCTCCCCTTCCCTTGTTCAATCTCTCTTTGACTCTTGCCCACCTGCCAGGGATCCTGGGCCCAGTTCAGCACCTTCACCCACTCCATCACCCACATCTGGCCCCGAGATAGTTATTGACAGGCTGGAGGATACGACTTGAGAGAGGTGATGCCGTCTCGGAGCAGAGAAGTAGGGGCGGCCACATGGGGCTGGGGTGGGAGCAGCAGGGAGACCCCTCGGGCCAGCTTTCCCTGGGCCAGGTCTGTCCTCAGTGTCCAGCGACGGGACCCGGCTCGCCAGGGCTCCAGCATGTTGGTCGCAGTCCCGGGGAGAGGCCGAGGTGACCAAAAGGTCCAAAGAAAGTAGCAGCAGCTGTCGGAAAAAGGGCTGGCAAGGCGCTCCCGTCACCCCAGCCGCCTTCCAGCCCCACGGCCCCTGCGAAGCTCCTCAAGCAGAGGCCTGGGTGGAGCCCTGGACCCCTCACCAGCCAGCCACTGGCCCTGAGACCATGCACACAATGCTACCTTACTGCCGTGCACTCCTCGCCCTGCAGTCTGCACTCCGAGCCAGCGTTCCCACCAGCTGGCATGACCCCTCGTCCTCTGAGGATCCTCCCCGGCTCTGATCCAAGACCTAGGGCACCCCCCACTTGGCCACCTGGTCTGGCCTCAAAGGGCGGAGCACACTGGGGTGCCTTGAACAGGGGTGAGCTGGCCCACTGACCCCTCCCAGCTGTCCAGCTCGACAGGCTTAGCAGTGTCATCCCCTCCGCAGTGTCACCTTGTGGCCTCAAAGCAGAGAGAAGCAGGTTTGCGCATACTGGGAGGAGGTACAGGACGTACAGCAGCCTGTCCAGGAAGGCTGTGACCCCAGCCCTGATGGAGTGGACTCCAGGATGGCAGCCCTGCCCCAGACCCCCCCGTACCTTCCTGGGCACAGCTGGATTCTAACCTAATCCAGGTCCCTCCCTCAAGAGGAGATGCCGCTTCCTCCAAGCAGTCTTCCCTGACTGCTCAGGCCTGATGGGAGGCTCCTCAGGACCCCAGTGTCCTTCCCCTCACCTCCCCCCAGTGCTGTGATGGGCACTGGGTGTGGGCCTGGGAGCTCCTGGAGGGCAGGGGCCAGCTCTTCTCCTCCCAGTGCCCTCAGCCCTCAGACCTCAGCCCTCTGGCCCACAATGGGCAGGCCACGAAGGAGAGAATGACAAGGGGAAGAAGAGCTAATTCAGCGCCAGAAGTCCAGGCATCTAAAGTGAGGAGCCAGCTCTGATGTCCCTACAAAGGTGCCCTGGGGGTTCCAGGATGGGGGGCGGGGGCTTGCAGGGCCTCTGAGGGCCCGAGAGCCCCAGCTCCACTGGCAGTGACAACAGCGACAAGTCCCTCCCCCCAGCACTGCGGTGGCTGCTGCTGGCTGCCGCCCACTCACTCCCAGCCCCTGGGGCTCAGCCCCCGCCTTACTGCGGCCCTTGCACTGCAGAGGCAGCGATGTCTGCAAGCTCGCCCCCTGTCCACAGAGCAGGGACAGCAGCAGAGACCCAGCCGGTCACCCCAGGTACAGCATGAGGGGGACAGGGCACAAATGTCCACTCCCAGGGGCACCATGGACAGGTCTCAGCACCCAGGGCCGATGCCCACCCCCAAGGCTCCAAACCCACCCTCCACCAGCGCTGTGGCCCCAACCCCACCCCCTCTGCCGTGGCACTGGGACCTGGGGTCAGGGACTGGGGCTGAAGGTGAGGTCCAGGAGGCAGAGGGAAGAGGCCCAGCCGACAGCAGGCCCCAGTGGGTCTGAGGCCAGCAGTGAGTCTCAGGTCTAGCAAATCACACAGACCCCCAGGTCAGGGACCCCCGGCACCCCGATCACCTCAAAGCCTTCTCAGGTCAGAAGGGGACCCCTGAAGACGGCCCAGGCCAACCCTTCTTTGGCATTCGGCCCGAAGCCAAGGAGGGCTCCCCAGCAGGGCCCCAGCCCACTCCTGAGAACTTGAGTGTCTGGGCCCAAGCACTGCAGCCCCAGGCTCAGGGTAGCACCATCACAGCCCTGAGACATTTTACCGCCGGAGAAGGTTCTAAGCAGCGATGCCCAGGGGTCCCTCGGAATGGCCTGTGCCAGGGCCAGATGCGCCCCCTGCACCTGACCCCAAGACCTGGGCTCTGATGCCTCCTGTGCTCTCTGGGGGCCTGAAATCCAGCAGCCACATCGCCCTTCCCCCTCCCAACCTACACCCTGAACCCAGGGCCTCCCGGACCTCTGCCAGCCATCAGCCTGCCTCTACCTGCCTGAAGAATCCAAGCATCCCGTCAACAAGGAAGCACTGAGCACCTACTGTGTGCAGAGCTGGGGGCACCACCGCTACTGCAGCAGGCAGGACCCACTCTTGTGGAGCAGATATTCTAGGGGGCTTGCCCCAGGCCACCACGGGCCTGCTTCAAGCCTGGACCCAGGAGAGCAGCCAACAACACCCCGGCTCCAGGCGGCCCGTCCACAGGGTGGGCAGCAAACTGCCCCAGGGCACTGGGCCCCAGACTTTTAGATTCCACACCAGGAAAATCTTCCCTGTGTGTGTGTGTGTGTGCGCGCGTGTGTGGTTTTTTCGGCCAGTGTGTATGTGTGTGTGTGTGTGTGTGTTTTGTGGGAAGGGGGGGTGCGGTCAGCATTATGACTATTTCCTCCCCCAAAACATTAAGAAACCACCAGAATTACCATCATTTCATAAAAGAAACACTGTTGCAACAATATGAACAAAAGTAGATACAATCTCAGGATAAAGGGTGTTCCTTCATATTGAGTAAAGCGGATTCAGCTTTCATACTTGGGAAAACACACACACATCACCTCATTTGTCCTCACTTGCAGGTATGAACTCCTGTCCCTAGACTTGCCTCAGGAAACCCCAGGCTGTCCCCTCACCCCAGGGCCCACCAAACACCCCCAAAACAGAAAGGCCACATCCCAAAGTATAAGCTTAGACCCCACGTGGGGACCCAGGGGCAGACAAGCAGCCCCAGATCTAATTTAATGGTAGGGAACATCCCGGGACGAAAATCTGTCAAATGACACCCCGCCCCCCCAGACAGGCCTTCCCTCCTGGATAGAGATCCGCATCTTATTTGCATGATCTGGGCCTTCCCCCTGGCCTGAGGGCCTACTCACCAAGGAAGAGGTAGCGCCCTGGACAGTGGACCAGGACAGCCCATGGGCAAGTCACACCACTGCTCTGAGCCTCAGTTTCTTCATCTGCTGAATGGGTATCATAATGACCTCCCCTGCTTGCAGTGTGGATGAGAATTTTCACCAAGCATCTGGCACTCAGCGGGTGTGCAACAAACCAGGTTTGTTTTTGTTTTGTTTTGTTTTGTTTTGTTTGTGGTACGCGGGCCTCTCACTGTCGTGGCCTCTCCCATTGCGGAACACAGGCTCCGGACCCACTGGCTCAGCGGCCATGGCTCACGGGCCCAGCCGCTCCACGGCATGTGGGATCTTCCCGGACCAGGACACGAACCCACGTCCCCTGCATCGGCAGGCAGACTCTCAACCACTGCGCCACCAGGGAAGCCCCCAAACCAGGTTATTTTTAAGTTAATATTTGACAAAGGCTTCCCTTGGGACAGGAAGAGCCTGCCTTTCTCTTCTCAATTCCCCAGCCCTGACCCCTGCCAGCCCTTAGCACTAAGCCAGCTTCGCTGCCCGGTCCAGAACCATGTGGCCTCTTTGGGAGGTGGCAGCCTCTTTGGGGAGGCCCCAGGAGCCCCAGATGCCAGCCAGGTCCCACGAGGCATGCCCCATCCCCGGTACAAGAACCACCAGCCCTGCCCTTCACTTGTGTCCATTTAATCCACACAGCGTTCTCTGTGGCTCTCACCACTGACTTCCGCTGAGGAAACTGAGGCTCAGAGAGGTCAATGTGACCTGCCCAAAGGTAGTAACGTGTGGGAAGGGATTCAAACCCAGCTCCCTAGAGAGTGGCTGCCACCACCCTGAGTCGCTGCTTCATGTGAAAATCTTTTAAGTGGTCCTCCCCGGGATGGGCCATCTTTGGTGTCTCCCTCCTCCTCTTTTATGGGCCCCTCCCACCTCCTATTACATCCTGGGTGAGAGCCCCTGCCCACAAAGAAGCCCTGGCCTGCACTGTCAGTGCCTTCAGCTCTGGTGTCCTTTTCTTTGCATTTTTAATCCCAAAAGGAGACTTGCCAAAAAAGGAGCTTTAGTGACTTCCCTGGCGGTCCAGTGGTTAAGACTCCATGCTTCCAATGCAGGGGGCACAGGTTCAATCCCTGGTCAGGGAGCTAAGATCCCACATGCCACGCAAAAAAAAAAAAAAAAAGAGGAGCTTTAGAAAACCACATAGCAGGGTGACATCAAACAGGAAGGCAGCATCCCCCAGACGCCCTCTCACGTGGAGCCAGAAGCTTCCGCTCAGCCTCTCCCCAAACCAATCCCTTGCACCATGTGAGCGCCCGGCCCTGGAATGCTCAGGAAAGGCTGATCTGAGCCATCACTTCTACGGAGGAAAACCTGCCCTGCTCTTGTATCTACCTGCCACCAGACTTTTCGTTTCCTCAGTGTCTCCCCCAACAAGACGTCAGTTCCAGGCAGGCAGCGGCTTGGTTTTGCTCAGCCCTACAGAACCAAGATGGTGCCCAGCACACAGTGGGTTTTTCAAGTAAATGAAGAAGCAAACCCCGTGATCACTTTACAGATGGCCGGAGTGAAGCCCAGAGAGGGGGGAACACTTACCCAGGGCCACCGGACTTACGTGCAGATGAGTCCAGTTCCCGCCCCAACCCCGGAACTATGCAATTCCCTCCCCCGCCACACGCCGCTCCCCTGCACACACACACACAGACACGGACACACACACACACGCACACGCACACGCGCACACATATCACCCTGGGCTGGGACAACATTACAAACCCTGATCCTTCAAGGGCTCAGCAGGGATTAGCTGTCTGCAGAGGCCTGTAATGGACACTGCAGGGAGAAGGGCTGGGACAAGGGCCTGGCAGGGACGGAGGTCTCTGGGTCATCGTGCGGCTCTGCCCACTGAGCACTTGCTGTGTGACGGGCAGCTGTCCGAGGCCCTACTCTCCACAACGGGCGTGTAAAGGGGAACCAGTATTACAAATGAAGAAACTGGGCTCAGGAGGGTCCTGCCATCTGCCCAAGGTCCCGGCTGGTCAGAGGAACCCAGGATCCCCACCTGCTGCCTGCCGAGCCCATGCCCGGGGTCTGTCTCTGACACGCCCCTGGGTAGGACCCAGGGATTCTAGAACCTCATGGCAAAAGCCCAGGCAAGGCCGGGCTAAGGCAGAAAGGGGGGGACAGAAGCACAACTTGGTGAGGGGCGAGCGGGGCAGAGATCGCCTCACCCAGGCGCAAGGGCCTGGGCAATGGCAGAGAGCGAAGGTGAGAAGGGGACACAGCGAGGTCATCTGCGGAAGAAGGAGGGTGAAGAGTTGAGGCCTCAGCCTCTCTGAGAGTCCACAGGATCCACAGATCCCACCAGCATTCAAGACCTGATCACATCCAACCCAAATCGACGGCCCAGACACCCCTCTCCGCTCCCGACACACCCCACCCCTTCCCTGGGTGACCAGCGGCTCACTCCCCCACTCCACAGGCACCCTGACCCACAGCTGTTCCCCCCGCCCCCGGGGAACACCTTCCCCAGGCCCCAGACAGCCCAGTGAGCCGACCTGGGCGAAACAGCCTGCTTTGGGC